ACAGTCCTGTAGGTTGGCCTCCTTCCGCTGATCATTCGGCCCCCACAGTCCTGAGAAGTCGCATAGTCATACTGAACCTAGCATCCTTAAATAAATAGTAGGACTTTTTTAAACATAATGCATAATACTAATTGAACAAATACAGTACATACTTACCTTTGCTCCTTTCAGTTTAGCTTCAGCAATTAAATCGCTGCAGGTTTTCAAGTTATCATTTTTATCTGATCTGCAGTTCAACTGACATACAGCAATGGCGCCTCGCTTCCTTTCACTGATTGCAGCCATCTTGATAGTTCTCTTGGAAATTGTCAGGAATGTTGTACAACTACGATTTGTGAACTTGAGTCTATAGTTTCTGAGAAATGATGCAAGTAGCATCATAAGTCAATTCTTGAAACAACAGTTTTTTGAAATTACTGCCCGTTCGTACGACAGGCGCCTGTGGCCTATACGCCCGGCACGGGTAACATGGTGAAAATATCCTGTGGTTGGATAGATTTTTTGAGAAAATAATTGAAATATTACTTTTTTTATAAAAATCACAAAATGTCTATGGATTTATGATTGTTGTCAAAATTATGAACCTAGAGGTCTGATGCGACCGTGACCAACGTGTAAAACAATCAACAACGATGGCTGATATAGCGAACTCTCATACTATGCGTGATTGAACTCTCACAATATGCGAGAATTACAGTTGACCAGACCTTTCCAGAGCTTGATAATGATCAGATTTGTTCACTTGAATCATATACCCTCTTGGCCTATGCTTGAACTACAGGCTTGAACTAGTAGCTTCGCGATGAGTGGCTTTCGCGATGTTTGGCTTTCGTGATGAGTAGCAGGAACTTGTCTTTTCATCAGAGTTGAGAATCTGATGTTGTATGTGTCATTATGTACAATTAAAATGATACGAAAGTATATGAGATATGTAGTTATATGTATAAATGATACACACTAATCAGAAAACGCATTCGCCTTATCGGTTATTTAAGAAAATATTTGTTCACAATTTTATAAACTGGCTTGGAAATTCCCACCACAAATACGAAATGCACATAATTCTGTTTACTTTGCATGTGTACTATGATTGGATATTTTAATACATACACTATCAACATATATTTCATATAACCTGGAGAAAAGAAAGCATTATTTTTCCATGCCATGAGACATTTTCCCTATCTGTGTATTATCTTCATATTTTAGAATAAGGTAGTAAACTTGATATACGTTAACTGGAGTGTAATATATCCTAGCTAGTTTCTAGTGCACCCTCTCATATTATTTGACAATAGGCTACAAATATTTTGTAAGCTATAAAATTGGTATACGTTAACTGGGATGTAACATATCCTAGCTACTTTCTAGTGCACCCTTCATATTAGTCTACAAATATTTTGTAAGCTATAATATAATACATATTTTAATACATACAAGTACACTCACAAAAATACACACGAAATATTAATTAGAGAATTCATTATATAACCTTGACAAAGAAAATCATTATTTTTCAAACTCCATGTGGAAATCCTAATAAATTAGATGTAAAGTACACAACTTGCGATGGTGGCTGCAGGATTTGAAAAAAAATGAGATGATTGAAAATATTGTATTCATTGACATTGAGTAACATTATTATGTACATGTATACCATAGGGTCCATAGTATCTTTTTCTTACTGATTTGATAACACTATATGCTTGACAGTTTCCAGAACTTAGTGTTATCCAGCGTAAGTATAGGATTGTTCGGAAGCATAAGATTGTAATGTGAATTTCGTTCATCAATACTGTATGATGACGTTATCTTCCGGGCCTACCTGTTATTCAGAGTCCCATATTGAGGCCGGGGGGCAAGGGGTAGCTGGAAATAGAATGAAGTTTCATTTACAATTAAAAAATAGGCTTTTACACTTTACAGATAAAGCTAATTCAAAATAACGTACAAATAAAATATCTGATTACATTTTACACCTTGTCAATGTCAACGAATTTACGGTTTTTATTTATTTAAATTACATTTTTTTTTTATTTGTTGCTACCCTTTTACATCAGGGGCTCATTAATAAGTAATTAGAAGCTGCAATAAAAATATTGGAAAATGTACATACTATAAAAATGAAAAAAAGAAACAATTTAAAACTTAAAGGAAGTACAAAAATAAAACTTTTAAACTTAAAGTGAATACATGAAATAAATCTAATCTACATATTCTTTTCTATAA